CAGCAAGAATGACAACAAGAAATTGTTCCCCCCGCCCCTCTTCATGCTGTGGGCAAAGCAGGGCCGGACCATGGCAGCTCCTTTGGTCTCCATCCTTAGCCACTTCAATTTTCTAGCACATTCTGGACTATCATAGCCCAATGCTGTCAATAATTTAATGATAGTCTGTGGCAAGGAGCAAAGGGGGTAGCTCTTCCCCTTATGTCTTGCCACCCTCATGAGATTTTACTGAGAAAAAGCTCAGTGTGACAATGTTTATCCTTGTCTGTTGGGTAGGCAAAACACTTCTTGTGGCCATGATCCGTGTCACGGGAAGCACACAGCTGAACTCGCCACATCTATGCTGCTGGCAAAGTCGGCCATGGTTTTAAATATCTAGAGCATGCATTTCAAAGTTTCTGTTGTCAGTGCCTTGCCTGTACTGCCTGCAAGGCTCTCTCTAAGAGGTCTGGACCACGGTCTGGGTATCTCCGAGACCCATGTTTGCCTTGCGCAGAGTGAATTTTTCACAGACAAGAACATTGGTCAAGCTGATTGCCCTTCTTATTTAAATAAACAAAAACAAAAACAGCAAAAAACCCCTACTATTTTCCTTGTAGTGGTTCTGGGGATGGGAACAACTCCTTGGCCTCTCTGCCCTCAGCTCTGAGGAAGGATGAAAGCGCAGGCTAGCATGGATGACAATGCCGGGAGTGTTTACTACAGGGCCCCGGTCATGAATAAAGAGTTGAGGAGCCTTCTGCAGACAGCTGGAAGCAGTCTCGCCACCGCAGGGCCTGGTTCTCCCAGGAGACCTCAGCTACCTGCTGGAGGTACACAGCTAGGGACGAGCAACTGTGGAGGTCCCACAAAGTGCTGCTGGTGGCTTCTTGACTAGTGCAGGAGGCAACAGGGAGAGGTGCTGCCGGCGCCGGTACTGACACATGGAGAAGGGCTGGCTGGAGACGTAAGTGACGGGGGCAGCCTGGGCTGCGCTGGCCAGGAGATGGTGTTCAGGGAGGAAACACGGCAATAAGTAGGATCACAACCCTGGGCTTCGGGAAAGGCAAACTTTGGCCTCCTCAGGGACTTGCTTGGAGGAATCTCATGGTTAGGGCACTAGAAGGAAGAGGGGTCCGAGAAAAGCTGGTGCGTATTCAAGCATCAGGCCCTCCAACCTACAGATCCCAGAGTAAGAAGTCAGTCGAAGGGGGTGGGAGACCCGCATGGATGAGCAAGTTGCTCCTGGCAAAACTCAAACAGAAGGAAGTGCACAGACTGTGGAAAAAGAAGTCACTTGGGAGGAATGTAGGAATGTTGTAAGAGTATGCAGGGATGTGATGAGGAAGGCTAAGGCCCATTTGGAATTAAATCTGGCAAGGGATGTCAAGACAGCAAGACATCTTCAAATGCATTGCTAGCAAAAGAAAGGCTAGGGAAAATGTGGGTCCACGGCTGAGCGGGGTGGGCGCTCCGGTCACAAAGAAACAGACAGGGCAAAATTCCTGAATGCCACATTTGCTTCAGCCTTTTCTGCTAAGGCCAGTCCTCAAAAATCCCAGACAGGAGAACTTCTTTCCTGTGAGGGTGCCAGAGCCCTGGCACAGGCTGCCCAGAGAGGCTGTGGAGGCTCCTTCTCTGGAGATCCTCAAACCCGCCTGGATGCCACCCTGTGCCCCATGCTCTGGGTGTCCCTGCTGGAGCAGGGGTGTTGGAGGACCTAGAAGTCCCTTCTAACCTTCCAACTGGACTCCTTCCAACCTCAGCTATTCTGTGATTCTGCCTTTTTGCCAGATGCTGAGCCGGTCTACTGGAGGGTTCCCTGACTCAGTTTTATCCACCATGGCCTCACCAGCCTCCTTGGGGCCTCACCCTGGCAGCGGCTTGGTGCAAACCTGCATGCGTGTCAACAGAAAGCAGGTGAGAGCCAACGTGAGGTAATGATTAATGTTCTCTGCTGTCTGCTCTGGTGGTTTCTTAAATTCTGCACCTCCAGAGCCAGCCAGATTTGGGCTCAGCCAGACCAGGCAGGGCCATCTCGGGGGCTGCAGCATCACTGGGGAAGGCCTTGGTTTGAGCCATTGCAGCTAGTCTTGCTCTTGCCTAACTCTGAAGGCTGCAAGGTGGATCAAGACCCCATGGGATCCCCCAGGAGCCATGGAAGTGGTGCAGGCAGCACTGCCAAAATGTCCCTTTTGCTGGTCTGTAGCAGTGGGCGAGCTGCTAGCAACCCTGCGGTGTCCCCCGCGGTGTCCTTGGCTTTTGTCTGCAAGACCTGCCGAGGTGCTAATTTGTCTTGGGCTTGGTAGGGTCCCAACCTCCTCTCAGTGCTCAGTTAAACATCCTTGAAATGGAAGCGTCCAGCTCTCAAATGAACCAGCTGCTGTTTGCTTCCTCAGCACTGTGAGATGCCCCTCCGGCCGCAGGTTTCAATCTCAAAACATAAAGCAAATAGAGATGGAGAGCACTCGCCGGACGTGCCCCACCGGGCAGCGACACCCCAGTGACGTTTCAATCCTTCACAGCTCTCGCTGAGTAACAGTCCAACAAACAGCAGAAGTATTTGTTGCTGGGTGTCATTTTGTCAAGCAAGCGGCTTAGTTTAGTCCAGAGCCTATATATAGAGGCCTCATTTGGGTGCATTTTTGGAGGATTTTATTGCTACAATGCCTGGATGCATCCCAGAGAGGCTGTCCCAGTGAAGCCCAGTTCTGCTGTGAGATCACAGATCGTACTTTTCAGGATCTCTCAGTTCTAATTTCTTTGGAGTCCAGGCTTCTTGTCTAATGCCTGTGTGCCATAGGGTGTTGTATGGCAAGATGATTAATAACCACTTAGTAAGGACACCACTGTTCCAAATAAGTAGTCCTGCGGGATTTGTTTTTATCAGGCCCTGGTAGACAGGGCTATCAGGAGCTCAGTTCATTCCTAAATGAATACGCATTATAAGCAATAATTGCTGGCATTTACCCCAGGACAACACTCTTGCTGGGCCATTTTTCCAGTGTCAAGCGTGGGCTGGGTTGTCTTGCTTCACGCCCCGATGGCAGCCGGGAGGTGGAAGGTGCTGGTGCACGCTCCGTGCGTGCTCTCCGGCTGCCCTGTGTTCACGGGAAAGCTGCAAACCTCCTCTCCGCTTCCCTGGGTGTCTGGAGCTTGTGCACACCCCGAAGCTTCCCCTGTTCTCCTGCAAGCCGCTGGTCCTCCTCTAGCTCGCAGAGCAAGGAGCTAATGCTCTGCCTGTCCTTGCTTGCCCTGGGCTCATCCTCTCTCCTAGCCGCCTTCTAGTGCATCCTCCCCCTGCCCTCCCCTCGCCATGCACCTACTTGCCGCTTTTACGGGGGTTCTCAGAGCATTTCGCTCATTTCCCAGCCCTCAGCTCCTCCCAGGAATGATATTTTTTTCTGTCCCCCCCACTCCTCAAAGCACCGGCCCCTCCCATCACCCTCCCACCTTGAGAAGAAATAAATAAATAAAAAATACAGGCAGCCCCTGCTGTTTGTTCTTAAATCTGTTCCCTCCTGCCTTGCTGGTTTGAAAGCCTGTACCCTGGAAGGGGCCTCCTAGCTTTCGTTGGCAACCTTGCTTCAGACTGACCGCCACAGATAGTGTTTTGGAGTGAAAAAAAATAATAATAATATAAAAAAATCCCTTCTTGCTGAGGTTTCCAGACGGAGCGTACCTAACCTCCCGAGCCATGTGCTTGGGTGACAGCTTCCCCGAAACAAATAGCCAGCTTGGGAAGCTTGTTTTCTCCCTCGTATTTTTCCAAGGGCTTTCCTTTGGCAGTGCCCGGCGTGGCTCTCCTGGTGCGACTGCTCTCGCTGCGTGTGGAGCGTGGGCAGGGGGACAGCCGCGTGGAGGCTGGTACATCCATAGGGTTTCGCTTTGGACACGGCTTTTTCCTGCGGCCGGATAACTCGCCTCCAGCCCACCTTCCCGCACGTGTCAAACAGGTGGGATCATTGCGCAGGCAAAATCAGAAGGAGGAGGAAAGTCCTTTGAGGTCTCCAGCTGAGGAGGGACCCCGGGTCTCTCTGTGCTGGGGATTTCACAGCTGGAACCTGGCACCACCTCTCCCCTCTCAGGGAGGAGGGCGGCTGGGGGATCCTTCCCCCTCCTTTCTCCTTCCCTTCCTCCTGCTGCTAAGTGAGGAGTAGGATGGAGGATGGAGGCAAGGTGGGCAGGCACATGATGTCACGGCCAAAGCAAAACGGGAGGAAAACACAGACATGGTACAACTTAGGGAAAAAAAAAAAAGAAAGAAAGAAAGAAAAAAGAAAAACCACGCTGAACTGCCAAGCCGGGAGAGTGGTGAGCGGAGGAACGAGACAGGGAGCGAGCGGGGCTATCGCGGAGGCTGCAGCCGCGGCAGCGCGTGCGGGGACGGGGCCGGGGCAGGTGCCTCGGGCTGCGGCGGGGGAGGCG